TACTCCTTACACTACACTAATACTAAACATTACTCCTTACACTGCACTGATACTAAACATTACTCCTTACACTGCTCTGAAACTAAACATTACTCCTTACACTGCACTAATACTAAACATTACTCTTTACACTGCACTAATACTAACCATTACTCCCTACCTCACTGATACTAAACATTACTCCTTACACTGCACTAATACTAACCATTACTCCTCACACTGCAATCTCGGTCAGCACTCAGACATGTATGGCCCAGTGCTTCCCTTACAACAAAGACACAACACATGAACCCCTACACTGCACACCGCTAAAAAAATGAACCCCTACACTGCGCACCGCAAAATAAATTAACCCCTACACTGCGCACTGCAAAAAAATTAACGCCTACACTACACACCGCTAAAAATTAACCCCTACACTGCACATCGCAAAAATATTAACCCCTTCACTACACACCGCTATAAATTAACCCCTACACTAAGCACCGCTAAAAAAATTACCCCATACACTGCACTGATACTAACCATTACTCCTTACATTGCACTAATACTAACTATTACTCCTTACACTGCACTAATACTAAACATTACTCCTTACACTGCACTGATACTAAACATTACTCCTTACACTGCACTTATACTAAACATTACTCCCTACACTGCACTGATACTAAACATTACTCCTTACACTGCTCTGAAACTCTACATTACTCCTTACACTGCACTAATACTAAACATTACTCCCTACACTGCACTGATACTAAACATTACTCCTTACACTGCTCTGAAACTATACATTACTCCTTACACTGCACTAATACTAAACATTACTCTTTATACTGCACTAATACTAACCATTACTCCCTACACTGCACTGATACTAAACATTACTCCTTACACTGCACTAACACTAACTATTACTCCTTACAATGCACTGATACAAAACATTACTCCTAACACTGCACTAATACTAACCATTACTCCTTACACTGCACTAATACTAAACATTACTCCCTACACTGCACTGATACTAAACATTACTCCTTTCACTACACTAATACTAAACATTACTCCTTACACTGCACTGATACTAAACATTACTCCTTACACTGCACTAATACTAACCATTATTCCTTACACTGCTCTGAAACTAACCATTACTCCTTACACTGCACTAATACTAAACATTACTCCCTACACTGCACTGATACTAAACATTACTCCTTACACTACACTAATACTAAACATTATTACTTACACTGCACTAATACTAAACATTACTCTTTACACTGCACTAATACTAACTATTACTCCTTACACTGCACTAATACTAAACATTACTCCTTACACTGCTCTGAAACAAAACATTACTCCTTACACTGCACTAATACTAAACATTACTCCCTACACTGCACTGATACTAAACATTACTCCTTACACTACACTAATACTAAACATTACTCCTTACACTGCACTGATACTAAACATTACTCCTTACACTGCTCTGAAACTAAACATTACTCTTTACACTGCACTAATACTAACCATTACTCCCTACCTCACTGATACTAAACATTACTCCTTACACTACACTAATACTAAACATTACTCCTTACACTGCACTGATACTAAACATTACTCCTTACACTGCTCTGAAACTAAACATTACTCTTTACACTGCACTAATACTAACCATTACTCCCTACCTCACTGATACTAAACATTACTCCTTACACTGCACTAACACTAACCATTACTCCTTACACTGCACTGATACTAAACATTACTCCTAACACTGCACTAATACTAACCATTACTCCTCACACTGCACTGATACTAAACATTACTCCTTACACTGCACTAATACTAAACATTATTCCTTACACTGCACTAATACTAAACATTACTCTTTACACTGCACTTATACTAACCATTACTCCCTACACTGCACTAATACTAACCATTACTCCTTACACTGCACTGAAACTAAACATTACTCCTTACACTGCACTAAAACTAACCATTACTCCTTACATTGCACTGAAACTAAACATTACTCCTTACACTGCACTAATACTAACCATTACTCCTTACACTGCACTGATACTAAACATTACTCCTTACACTGCACTAATACTAACCATTACTCCTTACACTGCACTGATACTAAACATTACTCTTTACACTGCACTGATACTAAACATTACTCCTTACACTGCACTAATACTAAACATTACTCCCTACACTGCACTGATATTAAAACATTACTCCTTACACTGCACTGATACTAAATATTACTCCCTACACTTCACTGATACTAAAAAAGGGGCTTTCTATACATACCATTATTTATATAATCTCATGTAATTTAATTTAAAAAAATAAAAAATATAATGAAAAATTGAAAAAAATACATGTTTTTTTTACTTTTACTTGAAAAATCTTTTACTCATCTACAAAAGCGAATGAAAAAACTGCTAAATAGATTCAAAATTTTGTCCTGAGCTTAAAAATACCCCATGTACAGGTTTTATAGCGTTTTTGAAAGTTACAGGGTCAAATGTATGGGTCAAATATTTTTACATTGAAAAAGGCCAGGTTGGTTACGTTGCCTTTGAGAGCGTATGGTAGCCCAGAAATGAGAATTACCCCCTTGATGGCATACCATTTGCAAAAGAAGACAACCCAAAGTATTGCAAATGGGGTATGTCCAGTCTTTTTTAGTAGCCACTTAGTCACAAACACTGGCCAAAATTAGCGTTCAATTTAGATTTTTACATTTTTCACACACAAACAAATATGAATGCTAACTTTGGCCAGTGTTTTCGACTAAGTGGCTACTAAAAAAGACTGGACATTCCCCATATTGAATACCCTGGGTAGTCTACTTTAAAAAAAATATGTACATGTGTTATTCAGAGATTTACGAGAGATAATAGTGTTACAATGTCACTGTTGATAAATTTAAAAAATGTATGTTTTGAATCCTACTTGTACCTATAGCCCTATAACTGTTTACATGCTTTTTTGCTTTTTTTTGCAAGTTATAGGGCTATAGGTACAAGTAGGATTGGGGGCATTGAGCTTGGGACGATACCAATGTGGTGTTTGGCGTCTGCCCTTAAGAGGCTATTGGTGTGTGTTTTAGTTGTTTCGTGATGCGTGGTGTTGGGTTCACTATATAACACTATGTGTTAAGTTATATATGTTAAGTTATGGTTATTTATGTTTAACGTTTTGGTAACAGAAAAGAAGAGAGATTATTAAAATAAATTATGGATGTGTTATACAGTATTTTATCATGTTATAATAAAAGCAGTTCCAAAAAAAAAAAAAAAGTAATAAATACATAAAAAAAAAATAAAAAATAGATTGGTCGGAGGTCATTTCCCGTATCTTTTGGCAGCAGGCCCATAATCGGTGCATGGTACGCTGCCATATGAAACAAAAATTGGAGGGCCTCTAGGTGTGTTTGAGGGTAAGGAGATTTTGGTTCGCCACGGGGTGTTGTCGCACCCGTGGCAGCTAATGTGTTTCTGGGTGATGGAGGTCGGGCTCAACCTTTTTTCATCTTGCCATGCAGGAAGTGGTGGAACAGGCCTTGGTTTCTTTTGGTGGGGCTTTTAAATCTAAAATCAGCGGGGTTTGTGGCGGGGAGCGTGTCCTTGCCAACAGGGTTGAGGAGCAGATGGAATGTCAGGAGATGGACATGGTGGGTCTCAACCTCCCCTGCCCTGTAAGGTAAACTTTTAAGTTACTGAATTGGACGTGCCCACTGAGCTAAAAGCTGGCTGGTCGTAGAGCATTTAAGATGATGGAAATTTTGGTTTGGACGAGGGGGGAGGCTAGACACCAGTGGGTAAAGTTTTTGGTGCAAAGGCACCTGATTAAGTTCGTTGGCAAGGACGGTTATTTAAGTTGGAGGCTGTAGGGCAATAAGTGTTAATTTATATGTCAATTATGGTATGTATATATATATATATATATATATATATATATATATATATGTGTGTGTTTGTTTACATTTGAATTAAAGGAAAAAGAATAAAGTTTGGATGAGTCCTACAGTTGTAAGTTTAATAAATGATGTGGCCTGTTTCATCCAATATTCGTTGTCTGTCGTTATTGGGGGGATAAGTGGAGTAGTCTCTTTACTCTTAGTCGCACCACATTCCCTGCTACGTACATACATGCGTATAGACTGCCCTGGAAGAACATTGAACCAACATGCTCACTTTGAGTGTGGGCAAGCTTGTCATTGGTGATGACAAACCCCCCCCCTCTGCCCCGCCCCCTTCTCAGTGGGCCACTGTGATTCAAAAATGCCCAGGCAAAATTTCTTTCCCAGTCCAGCCCTGATGCCAATAATAATAATACTAAATACTAATGCACAATATGTAGTATGTACCATGTTAGGATGTCCTTGATCTTTGTATTGTGAAGTTGAATATTTGTTATCTATAAAGTGACACATGAAATGTTTGCAATGCAGCTACAAACTCGCTCAGTGTTCCAAAAAAAACAAAAACATTTTTCATGCTGCTTTGGAGTGAGATCTCCCAAGCAGGCGTTAAAATAAATGTCAATGTTGTTGTAAAAGTCCTGACACAATCTGTAGGGATGTGCCGGTTTGTTTACAGTATTGTGTGTTTGGCTTTCCAGATCCCTAAACCATAATTTCACCATCCAAATCCGATGACATCAAGAATCATTGTCTGCGTGAAATACGATAGTGAAGATCAATAGGTCTCATATTTGAGAACCACAAACACTGTGAGCCTGTTATCTCATATGGTAAAATGCTATATAATTAGCAGTCAAGGCGGTATGTACAAATAAGTAAAAAGGTTAGGGTTTATATCAGGGCCCCCCAGATGTTGCTGAACTACAACTCCCATGATTCCATGTTATCTGTTTCATTGAAAGAATCATGGGAGTTGTAGTTCAGCAACATCTGGGGGTCCGCAGGTTGGACAGGCCTGGTTTAGATGTTAGAATTGGCAGACACATTTGTTTTTACTTCTGGCGAAAGTAAAACATTTTTGGGGACAGACGAAATTCAGCCATATGGCGCTTTAGTTCAGCTGAATTTTGTTAATAAAAAATTATCTTGGAAAACAAATAAGGTAAACCAAAGGGTGCAAAAATGGGTCAATGAGTGTACAGCAAAATATATACATAATATAAATATTATGTACATATTTCATAGTAGACTAAAATTAACATTTATTGACTGTCCTCTTTCTTCCCATCAATCCTCTCTCTTTTTTATTTTTTTTGGCTGCACAGGCAGAATTCAGAATCCCAAATCACAATGAACGTGTCCGCCCATTGCATGGGTAGTTTGCTTTGTAATTCAGCCACATTTTGACTTTGATTTTGGGAATTTGACCTTTTACCTGATTGGCCCAAATGTGGATAAATCTCTGAGGCTGTTAGATATGGGGTGATGGGCCAGGGTCTAGAAATAAGGTGAGTTGGTAAGTTGAAATCCTGACGGTAATTTGAGACTTACAGAAAAGTGACTCTGTCATCCTTATTGGGAAGGGAAGAATTCATCAAACAAACAAAATAATGTGCAAACAGCTTCAATTCCCACACATGCCTTACAGCATTTCAAATGGACAAAGACGGGCACTTTTATTTTAGGATAGGGGCTAAAAATAGGGACTGTCCCTCCTAAACAGGGACACTTGGGAGGTATGCCAAACTCACACAATAGGGGAGATATTTGGTGCATTGCTTACATCTCTTCTTACAGTTTATACCGTTTTCTTCCTCTGCTTTCATTAGGAAGAATTTCTTCTTTGATTAATTATTGAGCAGCTGCTGTAACCAGAGCGTTTCCTCATCCTCTCATTACTGATGCCCGGCAGCCCTGGCTTGCTTTGTCAGGCCCCATGCAGCCTTGACGAGCTGCTTCTTTGCAAATTCTCTGATTTCTGGTCAACAGTCAGCACAATTTTCTGTCTCATCACAATTAAGTACATGTTGGTCCCTGATCCGCAAGCGTGTGGACAGAAATAATCCAGCTCATGGACTGCGGGTGTGATTTAAAGATAGCTGTACGTTCTGTGCTTAGTCATTATTGCATAGATAGAACTCTGCTTGCTTCTCACTGCAACCCTGGCTGAACGCTTCACTGAGCCCAAAACAAACTCGCTTCCCTTCAGAAGAAAATTACAATAACAGTATCCTTGACGGTGGCGCTGTGGAGAGAATCCAAACTTCAGTTTTGATAATGCATGCGGTGCTGTATTTGCAAAGAAAGATATACAGGAGAACCACTCAGTGTCTTGACGGCTCTCAGTATCGAAGGATTAACAACATCAGAGAAATTGCATGGATAAGGGGTTCCAAGGGAGAAGCCACAATTCTAGCTACATCCATGCAAAATAAAACTGAAACACCAGCTAATCCGTCACTTATTAAAAATGCAGAATTGAAATAGAAGGAAGTTAACACCTTAAACACCAGTGGAATCTCGATCATCATACCAAGCGTCTCTGTAAGATTCCCAGGGTTTAATAACTGCACAACTGTATAGAACTGCCAAAACCAAATACACAGGATAATACATGTCAGCATAAGGTGTTTAGGGGCCACATTGTGACCTTGACAAACAATGCCATTTGATTTAAAGGAGGTAAAATGTATTATATATGGGCAGAGAGGTATAGACACTGTAGTGGGTATAGAGGTATAGACGCTGTAGTGGGTATAGAGGTATAGACGCTGTAGTGGGCAGAGAGGTATAGACGCTGAAGCAGGGGACGGGAGACAGAGGCTGTGTAACGGAGCTCCTTGTACTCCGACTGAGTACCCTCCGTTGACGGATGCTCCTAGCGCTTCCTGAGGACTCCAAGCGCTGCAGCAGACACCACAACCACCGCAGACTCCGCAACCGCCGTATCTTGACTGGAGTCTCGCCGTCTTCCTTCCACCCTGAATCAGCTTCTATCCTCCAGGACTGTGTGGGAAAGAACTCTTCCTTCCACCCTGTATGAACCACCAGCATCCAGGACTGTGTGGTGAAGACCCCTCCTCCAAGGAGAGCGTGTCGGGAACAAGCTCTTAAAAGAGCTAAGTGATTCAAGCTCAGGGGAGCATGCAGAGCATAGCAATCCCCAGTGTGATTATAACAGCTCCCTGAAATAACGAGACAAGGCTACATTTAGAGGGATCAAGAAGAACTGTCAAAACCTTTATTTCCCTTGGGACCAGCCAATAGGGTCACCACAATAACATTGTTGTGAAACCTCAATAAAATTACAAACAGTCAAACTATATCAAGCAACACACAGTGACTTATCACAACACAATGGCACATGTTTAAAGGGGTGGGGGAAGACAATATTTAACAGTAAAGATCTCACCTGCCTGCAGAATTAGCAATATGCAAATCTACCCGAATATGCAAATGAACCAGTCTTGCAATTCAGGTAGTGCATATTGCTGTTGCTGCCAACAGAGGGCACTAGACAAAGACAAAACCACCTAGTTGGTAGCAAACCTCAGCAATACAAGAGAGCAGGCAATACATTACACAGTACAAACACACACTATAAACAATTACATTACACACACCCTGCACCTATAATGGGTACAGGGTGACTAAAACATAAGATAAATAAAGCAGCCTACATAAATAGTCTGTCTGAAGGTAGACTAGGGGCTTTAAAGCCAGATACATGAAAGAGTCATAGTCACAGGGGAGGAGGCTGGCAAGTAGGCCTCTCCAGGACCAAGTGGCGAAGGGCACTTCGTCACAGGCTGTAGTAGAGAACGAGGGGTATAGGCTGTAGTAGGTGTAGAGAGAGAGAGGCTGTTGTAGAAGTAGGGGGATACAGGCTGTAGTAGGTGAAGGGGGATAGAGGCTGAAGTAGGTAAGGGGGATAGAGGCTGTAGTAGGTTAAGGGGGATAGAGGCTGAAGTGGGTATAGGTGGACAGAGTCTGTAGTAGGTGAAAGGGGATAGTGGGTGAAGTATGGTGTAGAGGGATAGAGACTGTAGTGGGTAAAGGAGAATAGAGGCTGCAGTAGTTAAAAGGGGGATAGAGTTTGTAGTGGGTGAAGCGGGATAGAGGCTGTAGTATGTAAAGGGAGATAGAGGCTGTAGTGGGTCTAGAGGGATAGATAAATAAAGATAACAAAATCGTGCCAGGATACATAAGTTAGCTTAATGGTCATTGTGAACAAATTTAGAATAAATTATTGTCTTATACTGAACAGTAAATTCTCTATTGAATTCTATAGTTAAAATTGCTCTTCAGGAAGCAGAAAAAACCTACAGGGACATGCCATAGGCACCACAACAACCGCAACAAGCTGTAGTTGTTCTGGCGACTATAGTGTCCCTTTACCCTTAAAATGCAATAAAGCTTGGAAATTATTATAATAGTGTGTCATTTCTTATATTTCAGTTGCCAGTCTTCAGGTATGCCAGATGCATAAAAAAAACCAAAAAAAACATGTAACTTAATTATATTTAGTTTTTTTAGTTATTTTGCAACTAAAAGCAAAAGTCACTCGTGAGTGAGGGTGTAGGTGACGTCCAAGACTGGCATTGCCCCATATTGGGCACACTCTGATATATCCAATTTGTTCTATTGGATCGACTTTGAGCTTTAGGGACAAACTGTACAGATTAAATATACCCATTTTGCTATTCCATTTGCAAATTATATTGTGTGTGTCGAAAGCAACAGAAATGTAGGTTTGATGAAACATCGTTGATAATATTGGTCCCTGAAAGCTACTTTGCATTAACATTGTTTAACGGGCACTTGGAAGCAATCTGGTACTGGTCGTATAGAGAAATAGGGGGCGTTTGAACTATTTGATAATATATTACAACAGCTTTGCTGCTGCACGTTATATACAGGACCCTGAAGTGTGCCTAGAAAATGTTATGATCAGTGCATCAATGTATATTGGAAATAATTAAAGTTTACGTCCTATGACTGTACCAATCTGAATTAAAACTAGACGTAATTAGTAAGTAAAGGCTCCAATGGGCAAATTACCACCAGAACATACTGCACTTAACATCCAAGGTCAACGTAACAAAACCAGATAACGGCAACAGTTTATAATGTAATCAGATGGAACAATTCCCAAACATACCAGGCAAGTGAGGGACCAAATCGTTCTTTTACAGTGACAACAGATGATTTGACGTGAAACTAACACACAAACTGCGTACATTAAATTACAGCATTAGTAATACCTTACTAATAATCCACCGTGGAATCGGCTATAAGATTTTTCCCCATCCCTTTTTTTGGAGTGGAACTCATCCAGTCCTAAGTGTGAGCACATTCTTTTTATGGAACAGTTTGATTTTAATTCAGTGGTCAAACAGAAATAAATAATTTGAATAAAAACTGTTTCATGAATCCTTTTCCATCCACTTTGCCCATCTGACTGTACACTGCTAGTTTACGATGCATTAGGGGCATACATTTTCTATAGCTAGGTTACAAAACAACTATTAACAGAAGGAACGTGTCCATTTGTGAGTGATTGTAAAGTGAGACAAATTTTACAACAATAAACATGACTTTAGACTTGTAGACAAGTCAAACATGCAACATAAAAATGGAAGGTTTTATTTTATTCTTTAGAAACCAGGACAGTAAAGCTGAGTTTCCCGTAAAAAGACAACCTCAATCAATGAGTCTGTCCCCAACACTTTTTGTATATCCATAAACTGTGCGGAATCTATATATAGCACTGCCATGAACACATATCTTGGCTGATCAATCTAGTTCAAATTCTCTAAGGAGATCCAAAGACTAGGCTTTATATATTACATCCAATTAGCCTTTTAATTGGGAGGTCAATAAATTATGTAGCTCAATCATAAGATTCTAGAATCGCTGCTAATTCTACCTGTATAAAGCTTTTTGACACTTTGAAAATTCATGTAGATAGTTAACTACATATACTGCATCCATAG